GTTTGTATCATGAGCACAACCTCCACCATTGTCTTTCAGCAGGACATCGGCATTCCGCAGGCTACCATTGCCGCCGACCTCGCCGCCCGCTTCCCCTCGGTCAGCTGCCGCTTCGCCTGGGCAAACGACGACGACGCCGCTGCCGCTGCCGCCACCGCTGGTGACGGCGATGAGGAGCAGAACGATGCGCCTGTCCATGCACTGGTTACGGTCACCCACCCGTTCACTGCAGAGATCGCTGCGGCACATCCTGATCTGCTCGGCGTGGCCGTGGCCTTTACCGGCTATGACGCTCACGACACCTCGCTTGGAGTGCCCGTCTTCAACGCTGCGGGCTACTCGACGCCGGCGGTGGCCGAGCTGGCGGTCGGCCTCACTCTCTCGGCCCTGCGTGGGCTCGCGATCTTTGCCCATGCCACAGAGTGGACGGCGCTGGCGCCAGGGCGCGAGCTCGGATCATGCACCGTCGGCATTGTTGGGACTGGCGCCATCGGTTGCGCCGCCGCCCGGCTCTACGCCGCCTTTGGCTGCAAGGTCAAGGGCTGGTCGCGCTCCGAGTCGGCTGCCTTTACAGACGGTGTTGGCGGCGAGTACGTCCACGATCTCGCAGAGCTGGTCGCTACCTGCGACATTGTCTCGCTCCACGTCCCGCTCAACGATGCCACGCGGCACCTGATTGGCACTGATGTGGTTGCCGCCCTTCGCCCGGGCGCGGTGCTTGTCAACACTGCCCGCGGCGGCGTGGTCGACACTGCTGCAGTTCTCGCCGAGATGCGGGCGCGGAGAGCGTCGTCGGGCACCTCGTTTGTCTACGCCACAGATGTGTTTGAGGACGAGCCGCTGCCGGCCGACTCGCCGTTCTTCAACGCGGCGTCGGACCTCGCGCCGTTCCTTGTCCTCTCGCACCACGTGGCGTACAAGACTGCCGGCGCTCTCGCGCGGCGGTGGGAAATCACGCTCGACAACCTTGACGCCATCCTCAACCGCGGCGGTGTCGGCGAGAACAGGGTCAACTAACTAGCAGAGGTGCAACGAGAGTAAAGGAGGAGGCGAGGCGCAAGCCGAGGTGCGGTAGGCGGGGTGGGGGGGGGGGGGGGGGGGGGGGGGGGCTTCAATGACTCACTCATCAATCCACTCAAACGGCTCGGGCATAGGCGGCTCGTCGCCGTCGTCGGCGTCATCGCCGGCGTCGGCAGCCTTGGGCTGGACGTACTCGGCAGCGAGGTCGGGCGTCGAGTCTTCGAGAAGGATGATGCCGGAGATGCCGGCGTGGGCGGACGAGGCCTTGACCGGGGTGTAGCGGGCGTCGGCCGAGAGGTCGATGACGGCCGCCTGAGGGAGGGTGACGCGCGCCGGGTTCTCCAGGAGCTCAAAGGCCGGTTCGGGCTTGGGCGCGGGGTCTGTGGACGGGTCCGAGCTTGTGGCGGCGGCGTCGTCGTTGTCGCCGCCGGCGGGAGCGGGCTTTGCCTCGCTGTCGTCCGAGGTGGTATCCATAGGCGCCGGGGCGTCAGCATCGGCGGCGGCGCCAGCGTCGGCGCCAGGCTCGGGCGCGTTGTTAGTGTCCTTGCCACGGGCCTTGGCCTTGGAAGTGACCGAGAGCACGTAGGTGTCGACGCGTGTGGCCTCCTTGGCCTCGGGCACCTTGGTCCGCGGCGGGTAGGCGAAGGCCGAGGGCGGGGCGTTGGACTTGAAGGAGAAGACCGGGAGCTGGAGGTTGGCGTCGAGGCCGATGACAGCGGTGGGGAGGAAGGCGAGTGAGATCATGTGGATGTAGGGGTACCAGTACCAGAACTGGGTAAAGAGGGCGAGGCCGACAATAGCCGACATCGAGTTGTGGCCGTCGCGCGAGAGGCACGAGATGGTGACATTGCGGCCGCCGGCGTCGATGATGCCGGCGGCGAGGAGAGCGCCAAACTTGGCCATGACGTCCTCGTGCTTGTCACCGATGATGGTGAGGAACTTCTCGCGAATGGCGGTAACCTTGGGCACGGCCTTCTCGTTCGACTGGACAAGGACCATGGCGAGGGCAATGAGGGCGCCCTGGCGGACAAAGTCGGTGGTGTCGTCGAGGAGCGGCTCGAGGAGCTCGACGGCGGCCGGGAGCGCGGTGCCGGCGCAGCCGATGCCGAGCGCCATAGCAGCGCCGTGGCGGACGTGCGGGTTGTACGAGGCCGAGAGGAGCGAGACGACCTTGGGAATCTGGGTCGGCTCGCGGAAGAGCACAAAGCCGAGGGCGGTGACAGCGGCACGGCGGACGTCGTCCGAGACGTCCGAGACCGCGATGCGGAGGAGCTTGCGGACCGCCCGGTTGTTTGACGTCCCGCAGTACGCCATGGCGATGGTGTACATGCCGCCGTAGCGGAGGAGGGCGTCTTTGTCGCGCATGAGCTCGTCGATGAGCACGTCGGCCCGCTCCTCGCGGCCGTAGTTGAGCAGCGCAATGCCCATGGCCACACCGCGGATGATCTTCTCGTGCTGAGTCTGGCGCGCGTACGCGAGCATGCGGCCGAGCACGTCGGCATCGGCCGAGCCGAGCATGACCAGGCCCATGCCCACGCCGGCAGCCTCACCGGCGACGGCCTGGTCGTGGTTGAGCAGGTCAAAGAGCGCGGTGTACGCCTCGTTGTCGTGGGTGGCCATCGACGCCACGCCGAGCCCGAGAGCCGCTCCGTGGAGGACAACCTCGTCGCCGCCGGCGGCGCGGAGCGCGTTGAGCAGGTACTTGGAGACACCGGCGCCATGGTTGGCGTTGATGATGCCGAGCCCGTACAGCGCGCCGCCCTCCGAGTACGGCGAGCCAGCGGCCTGGCCGGCCGCCGGCAGGTACGGCGCCAGGAGCGAGAGGCCCTCGGAGAGGTGGCCCTTGTGGATGACGCCGAGAGAGGCCGTGGCGTTGAACCGAGCCCAATGGGTGGCCTTGGAGAGCCACTCCATGTTGTCGTGGAGGAAGGCATCCGAGGTGGTGCCAGCGCACATGAGCGAGTTGGCAAAGACCACACCCGAGTGCAGGACCGACTTGCCGTTGGCAACCTGCTCCTTAAGCTTCTCGAGAATGAGCGGATCCGTGTTCGACGCGTTGTACAGGAACTGGAGGTAGATCTCGATCGACGGCTCGCCAGTGAGGATGTAGTGGACCTTGTCCATGGGTGCAAGGTCGGCCGCCGCCGGCGCGTCGCCAGCAGCGACGCCGGCGTCGGCCTCGTCGTCGCCAGCCGACG